TTTACCCGTTGGTGCACCTTTCGAAGTTGAAGCTAGTTCGGCAATATCCCGACAGACCGAATACGGTGTTGGTGGTGGACGAAACAGATCGAGTGGATTTTGACGAAGCCCTGCTACCAGAGGATAGCTGGGATGCGGAGTTGGAAGACAATGAGTATGAAGTGGAGATGATTCTTGACAAGCGCATGGGAAGAAAAACTCGGTATGGTCGTATTCAATGTGAATACCTGGTGCAGTGGAAAGGATACTCCGATCCGTCGTGGGTAGACGAGGTGGACCTCAATTGCGGTGGACTACTTGAGGACTACGAACGCAGGCAAGTCACTCGGAATCGTTTTGAGGTGATGCAGAGCCATGAGGAGTAGAGGGGAGAGTTTGTCTTGGGAAGGCCAAGATGATGCAAGAAGGAGGTGGTATGTGTTGCATGCACAGAAATTGGTCAAGTCATGTATTCGAGAAGTGCAGCAGAACAAGAAGAGTGAAGTATTGCTAACCTGTAGAGGACACCGAGGGACTACCTACCTAAGATATGGCACCAAAGAGGAAAATCGAGAATGTGCTAGGGATTTCGAGGTGAAATGGCATTATCTCAGCTTATTAAGGATGCACTTAAAGCTAGTGATAACCCTCAGGCGGTGTCGGGTGGAGAAAACTTGCCATGGAGACGGGGAACCCCGAAAGCGGGATGCTCGTGGATGTTCTTGTGGTAAAAGATGCGCCACGGTTCGACATCATCCACCAACTGCAACGCCTCCATAATCCCCGGTTGAAAACTCTCCTGGTTGACCCATGGGGTCCAGTAAGACAGTTGACGCGTGGGGGTAACGGGCTGGAAGAAGGGGTCCAGCAGGATGTCCAAGTCACAGTGACCTGCTACCATCCCCTGCAGGACCTTTTTCAGCACTCCCATCCAAGCCTGTGTCGCCTTGGCCCGTCGTTTTTTCCTGGCGTTGTAAATGCGGGAGATGTACGCACTGCCGGAACGAAGAGCTATGAAGAAATGAAGACGGTGACGGTCCTCCCACAAACTCTGGCGCGATGCGTCTACGTAGGCATCGTGGAGCTCCACCAGTCCAACAAACCAGCCGTTTACGGGGAACGAGAGAGGATACTCAGACATCGTCTGCTGCTCCCATGGGCGCGAGTTCATCAACAGCCGGAGCTGAGACTCCGTTACGAGACATTTAGTCTCGCCCAGGCGGCCCTTGGATCTCTTGTCTAAAGGGGGGCCCGGACCCATCCACGAAGCTGGAAGGGTTATGCGGGACCACAGGTCTTTCACGCTTAATTGCGAGATCGCAAGGGGGCCCACCATAGAGACGGGCCATGGGGCAACGTCTTCGGTCTTGAACACACTTGGCTGGGCATATCTCGGAATGGATGGGCCCCAGGCGTTGGAACCGGCGGGGCCTTTGGATGCTGGCACCCCTTGATCATCAGAGTCGAGACTCTCAGTATCGGACTCAGAAGGGCCGAAAAGCTGGATGAACAGGTCGGAATGAGGCGTGGGCGTCTTTTCCGAGCTGGAAGAAGCAGCAGGTGACGTCTGTACTTCGGGAGGAGGCTTGGCCATTGGTTTCCCAGTGAACCCCGCCGGTTTAGGTAAAGGCTTGGACGTTGGTTTCCTAGTGGACCCCGCTGGTTTCGTTGGTTTCCCAGTAGACCCCGCCGGTTTTGGAAGAGACTTGGACGTTGGTTTCCCAGTGGACCCCGCCGGTTTCGTTGGTTTCCCAGTGGACCCCGCCGGTTTTGGAAGAGGCTTGGACGTTGGTTTCCCGGTGGACCCCGCCGGTTTCGTTGGTTTCCCAGTGGACCCCGCCGGTTTAGGAAGAGACTTGGACGTTGGTTTCCCAGTGGACCCCGCCGGTTTGGGAAGAGGCTTGACTTTTGGTCTCCCAGTGGATCCCACCGGTTTGGACTCCGTCGATGTTGGGAGAGGACCGGACTTGGGTGTCCCAGTAGATCCCACGGACGTCGAAGAAGGGCCGGATGTCGTTTTACGAGATAAGTCCACCACCTCTGGAGCGGGTTTCCCCACGGAAGTCACCGGGCTACCACGACGACGAGAGGCACGTGACCGAGCCATCGCCGCTAGCAGAGACTCATCGCTGCTACTGGACTCGTCTTCAGGGGAACTTGAGGCACGGATGGTCCGACGCTTCTTCGATGTGGAAGGGGCTGGAACTTCGGCGGCAGGAGGGTAGACAAACGGCCAGGTGCTGGGGGTTCGTCGGAGAAAGAACTGGAAGAAGTCACTGGTAAATAAAGGGTGGGTGGGTTGGTGAATACGAAAGATCGTCAAGCACATGGACACCTACTTATATGTTGAGGAGACGGGACAAGGATGCACGGGGTCTTGCCGCAGTTCGGAAGACCAGCGCCAGGGTACGCCGTGGAGAAGTGCCAGAGAAATGGGGGGCCCTTCGTAGTTATTATAATAACTGGCGGGAAAGATCTCGGTCACTCTCTTGAATGAGTGACAGGGAGTGACCAGGGTCCCGAACTGGTCCAAGGTCCCGAGTTCGGAGAAGATACTAGGATGCCCTACACTACAGACCAAAGGACCAGTGCTGCTAGGACAGCTTAAGTTGACCCCAGGTAACAGGTGGGTCCCAGACAACAGGTGGACCCAGGTGACCGGTGGACCCCAGGCAACATGCGGACCCCAGGTAACAGGGGCCCAGGGGTACCAGGATACTAGGGCTCAGGGGCCTAGGGGCCTAGGGGTGCCAGGGTACGGGGCCTAGGGGTACCAGGGTGCCGGGGCCCAGGGGCCTAAGGGTACCAGGGTACCGGGGCCCAGGGGCCTAAGGGTACCAGGGTACCGGGGCCTAGGGGTACCAGGGTGCCGGGGCCCAGGGGCCTAAGGGTACCAGGGTACCGGGGCCCAGGGGCCTAAGGGTACCAGGGTACCGGGGCCCAGGGGCCTAGGGGTGCCAGGGTACCGGGGCCTAGGGGTACCAGGGTGCCGGGGCCCAGGGTACCGAGGCCCAGGGGTACCAGGGCCCAATGTCCGAGGGTGCAGAACCGGTACACCGAATATCGAAGATTACAGAAAGTACAGGGTACCAAGGAGCCAGTCCTTCCTCCAAGAGTCGGAACGTGGCACTTTCCAGATCAAAGGGTTAGGGTTAGGCAAGAAAAGCATACAAGGTATAAGATAAATAAACACACTCGAATTTGCATTACACGTGGCAGCTTTAAGCGCCCCTCCTAAGCTTCTCCGTCGCTACACCTCTTCCGGGCGGGATACCCTTTGGCCCCCCAACGTCCAGCAGGTGTTAGACGGCTCTAGCAGCGCAAGTTGAACCTCAGGATAGTTGGCCTGAGGTTGTCAACACTCTACGACCCGCTACAGGAAGCGGTTTCCCTACGGGGAAGAACACAAAGGGGTCCAAGGACCAAGAACAGTCAGCCACCAAAGGGGTACATAGTACCAGGTGCATCGCTCTCGACTAAGTCGATTGATGCCCAAGAAACCCGGTCCCAAGTGAAGTATATCCACTCGGGGACCACCAAGTCCAAGTCTTATACAAAGACCAAGTTTAAGTCTTCTACGTCAACCGAGGAGCAAGACCAGCCAAGCCGACGGGTACACAAGGTGAGACCCAAGGCCAATACGACACGGTATCGGGGTACCTCCTCCGTAAGTCGGCAGTCCGGCGCTGTGTGTGTTTGTGGATCTCCTACGTTGTTTGAGAATCCACTCCACCACACCTCCTTTTGAGCTTGCTCACGCAATAGCTCATCCTGAGTCTTATTGATGGACTCAGCCGTAGCTAAGCTGTTTGCCTCGGACGCGTTTCTACGCTGTCCGAGCACAAACGCCTCGAATTGCTCAAACTGAGCAACATAATGCTCAGGAGGACAATTAAAGAGGCTAGACAGGGCTTGTTCACCAAGTCCCTGCATCAAGTGCTCTTCCACCTCCCTATGATGTTGGGAGAATAGAGGAAATTTCCTTAATCCACGTTGAGGGACATCGGTATCCACGCACGCTCAGAGGGAGGGTCGTGGGAAGGACTACTAGTGCTACCAAGTATAGACAAGCACTTCGTAATGAAGCTGCCACGTACTACGCGGGCACCCCCTTAAGCAGCGCGAGGAAGCGGTTATACCGTCTTACCTCCGCGTCGGTGGTGGTGGTGTTGGTCGGCGCTAAGAAGCGCTATACCAACCGTTGCCGGTCGCTTTGAAGCGAGCCGCGCAACGAACTGCTAAGACAAGAGCTACACTTACGACACGCAGAAGCTTATACAGCTTCGTGCGCAGTGTGCGATGTTTAGTAGATTTAAGACTAATTTATATTCAATAGAATTTAAATTAAATATAAGATTAACTACTGATTGGTTCATTATGCAAGATTGGATACGCGTCCTTTAAAAAGCGTATCCTTACGCGCGAGCTATAGATATATTTAGGCTCGCTGATGACGTCTGTTTGAAGCGGTATCAATGACGCCTAGTCCCAACTGGGCGTCATTCCTATTGAATGTGAATCCATTCATGGATATCACATGGGGTCACATTGATGTGCCGCACCCAAGTGGCAGTTCTAAGGTACCACGTACCCATTTAGGCCTGCCCATTAATACTTAACGAACCGTGTAACTTTTTAGCCCGTTACAAATGGACCCTTGTAGACATGCCAACATGAAGTGTGGCTGTCGAGTTCGAATAGAATTCCTGAATCAAGCGTATCCAAGTGGCGAAATTGTCAGGAAGAAATTCGCACAGCGTTCAGCAATCGACTACAGCGAACGTTTGCACCAGAGGTTAAGAATTCGATCAGTACGCTTTTAATAATTGCATCGGCTAAAGGGTTTTGGAGATCGAGAGCGTCGATGTCGATACAGCGTCTCTATAAGCAAAATAGACGAAGAGATCTACATGGACCAACCCTACGGTTTAAAGACAACGAAAGCCTGTCAGAAAAAGATGGGGAATAAAGACTCATACTGGAATTTAATGCATTATCTTACTTGCTTATTACAATCATCTTTATCCACTCAGTCTCAGATTGAGGTGCGCGTTCGGAGCAAGGCAGTCGGCCTCAAGTCCTTTGAGAAGCTTAACGTCCACCCCCGCGTCTTTGAGTAGTCGCACTCCCTCACAGATGACAAATGTCTTTGGTTCCATAACGCCGATGACCACACGAGTAACCCCTGCACGAAGACAACTCTGTACACATGGTACTTTTCCAGACACTCTTTCGCTGCATGGCTCCATTGTAGTGTATACGGTAGCTCCTTGTGCCTCAAAGTTGAGTTTCTGTAACGCCACCTGCTCTGCATGCGTGTTGCCCGGCAGCTCGCGCGAGAACCCGGAACTCAGTATATTGCCGTCGCGTACCACAACGCAGCCTACACAGTAAGCGTTTTCGGACGGTTGTGAGCAATGCGCCTCCAAGATGGCGAGACGCATGAATGCTACGTCCGACTTGACCATGGCAGAAAATGAATTTACTTGAATTCTAAATTGGAATTTAGTCTACGGAAATAAAATTCTAAATTGGAATATAGTAATTTACTATATTCCAATTTCTAGAGGTAGACTCGTTTTTTATCTAAACATTCTATAGTGGGCGAGCGTTAAACATCCCGTATTTTGTTGTCAACTTCCCAGATTTGTCCAAATCGAATTGGTCAGAATGTATATAAATAGGTCGTCGATTTTATTACAAACTAGCATTTCCATAAAACGACAATAGACTATCCACAACTTGCATATGCATCACTAGAACAAGCGGAAGCCGCAATTACTGCCTATGACAACATAAAACAATCTGTAAACATGATGACAGAAGCGTTATTAGATTTTAGTTCAATAAAGCTAGCTTTCTTCAATTTGGCTTTCTCTATTAATCACCTTCGCTGCTTTAGCCTCATTGTCATGCTTGAAAATGTCTAATTAGCGACTGCGCCTATACATAGTTGGTAAACATGCGTGAGCAGCGAGTGCAGGATCATTGGCCATACATTGTCACCTCGAAGTTCTCTTAAAGTCTCAGTTGTATCACCTTCATCTCACGTTCACCCATCTCGTCACTTGAGCTATTCTAGTCCAGTCTGTAAAGCTCTTTTCAGCATCTCCAATGTTTATAAAGTCACGGCCGCTTGTCGGCTTTCCTCGTGACACTTCATAAGCTGCCTCTTGATGAATAACTCCGAATTCGAGCTTTCCTTCAGCATCCATAATTCTACACACAACAACAAAAACAACTTGTCAAAACACCGGAGAAGCTAATACCTTTTAATCCTAGATGCTTCCGGTTACGCGTATTGCAGACTTTTTACCGGGATGTCTACGTGACATACAGCCACTGCCTTGTCCATCTGTTGCAGTAGCTCCACATGACGCGTAACGTTGTCAAAGGAAGCTCAGCTGGTCCTTTCAAAAGTACATCACGCTTCCGTGAGCTGGCCAAGCGTCCTCACGACGTCCACCAAGCGTCTTCAGCAGTTTCGGCGACAGGTACTTCACCACGTCGTCTCGAAGCAACGCTAAAACCTAGTCCAAAGGCGGCAACGGCTTTGTTCAAGGTATAGGTTGCAGCTTGGCGACTCGACTGCTGTCGTTAGCCCGTCTGCAGTAGATGGTATCTTGGGCCGAGACGGAGACCCGCTAGGCGTGATTGGATCCGCGCATGGACTGTCCCCACTTGGGCTCGACGCTCCTGAGGTCGTACGAGGACGCCGATAGACTGTAATATGGAGCTGGAGGTACAGGCTTGGAACTAACAAAACTGTGACGTTTAAAGTATTTTTTGTAAGTTCAAATGAGATATTCCCATTGGCGTTAGGCAAATATGGGAATTTGAGCTAATTAACAAAAAATTGCGGGCCCTTCTGTGATTATAAGGAAGTTTAATAAGTTTGGGGACTCATTCATCTGCTAGTGATGGAGTTGCCAACTGTTTATCTATCTCTTACTAGATCTCCTTAAGACGTGGTCGCGAGCAAGGCCAAAGCCTTTTGGTTGGTCAACTCATTCAGCACGTAAACAAAAGCACGCTCCATAAGGCCGGCATTGGCTTCCTGCGTAGCCTTAAAAACTTCGATCGTAAGAGGGTCTCCGATACCATTGGCCATATTGTCCACGATGGAGAGCATGGCGAAGGGCACACGCAGTTCATTAAAAAGCTCGGCTTCATTCGCGCCCGTCATGCCGATGAGCTGTCCAAATTGTGCAAAGAAGCGCACTTCGGACTTTGTCTCGAAACGCGGCCCTGCCGTCTGCACGTAGACGCCGCCGTCGTACGGATCAAAACCTCCGCTTTGCAGAGCCTGTATTACTGCATTCCTAAGCTTGGCGTTGAGCTCAGGTACCACGTGGGCATCATAGTCCATTGACACGTGCAAGATGTCGAAGGGATTGAAGAAATCTTCCGGCACCACAAAATGTCCGACGTCTATTTTAGTCGTCATGGACCCAACCGAATAAATACCAATTACGGCCTCACACTGTAGCGTTCGAAGCGCTAATGCAATGGCACGAAAGTTGATTTGTCGAGGCTGACGGTACTTGCCGTCTGGGTCTGCATGATGACGCTGGACGAACACGAGCTGCAAAGCGGGTATTGTCTCAGCCTTTGATAGCCAAGTGCCAATGTAACACACGACGCTGCCAAACGCAGTGTCGATGATCTTTTTTACTAGTCCAGATGAAAAACTCTTGGCATGGAAGAGGCTTGATCCACCAACTACGCCCAAGACGTGCTTCTTTGACATCACTATGGACTGCGAGCAAAGAAGAGTGATGGACTTAATTCTGCTGGACGGCGTCAAACAATGTTATGTTGCGTATAGGGAATAATTACAATCGCAAAACTGCTATCGTTTAGTCTATCACTTTTGACAGTAAGTCTAAGGATGAGAGTAACGCAGTATTTGTGAGTTGATGCTACGGCAGCTCGACCGAATGATGGTCAGCAACGCAAAATGTGCTAAACGCCATCAATGATATTTTAACGAGCTACAGTTATGTCGACACTTTGTAAAGGTGACTTCCTTGTAAAAGTAAGGAGTTTGCCAGCACAAAGAGCTACGGTTTTCAAAACATAATACGGTCACGTATACGTAGCTCATACCATCGCAAAAGCACCCCGATATCACGCAGAGTCGGCTGCTCTTCAGTCTAAAGCAGAACCAATTTCTATTCGCAAGCCCGCGAGAAAAGCTACATCGATTCTCTTTTCGATAAACACTTCATGAAGCTTTCTCTCTACGTTCATATCGTTCAGATTCAGCAGCTCTTGTCTTTAATCGAACATCGCTGCTAATCCTTGCTGTTTCATTGTGTTCGCTCAAAAGATTAAAGGCCCACTTGTCGGCGTCGAATCTTTCGCATCTTGTAAAGTTAGTTCATATGACGATGTATGATCCAGGCCAGAGTTGACATTGTTGTGCTTCTTGGCGGCATAAGACTAGTCAACACCGTATGATTGCAGAGGATATGCCGATAAAAGCTTGACAACGATTTCTTGAGAGAACTCTTGTTCGCACGACGAACTAACGTGGTGAGGCCTCTTCTTCAATTCTCTCCAATCCACTAATAGCATTACCTCGAAACGAGGCGGTATAAAAACTAGAGTTTTCATGTACCATCGTGATGCGCCATTGCCATGTACACTTGACCCATGCAGTTCTTGTCCACTAAACTTTTGTTCAATGGTGCAGCATACGAAACGTCCGGTAATAACGAGAAGCGAGTAATATATCAGCACTGCTCCAAAGCATGACACCATTTTATACAATAATACCTGGCACTATAATTTGTGGGTGGTTTTATATTGCTGTACAGGCAATGCGCTTTACCATCTCGTTCGTACGTACGCACTGACGCCTCTTATTCAAAAGTAGACTTAAATATAGCGAGCGCACTTTTCTGCGCTTTTTTCATGCGTCCGTAAAGTGATATCGATCCTTTTCTCCCACGTTGCATCGCATCTGCCTCGTCGGTAAAGCTGCCTTGCACCGGACTCTCTAATAAACCAGGTGCACTGTTTGCGAATCCTACACCGCCATTGCGTTCGCAGTAAGTATGTTTGACGGACTGCACACGAACCATTGCAGACTGTGGCGAGTTTATGCCCTTGCACCATTTGCGTACAATCTGTGCACGAATACAGGAGTGTTCCTTTTCATCAATCTTTCCGCGAAGAAACAAACCCGCAAGGTCCTCTAACTGGTCTTCCATCTTCTCTAGATCCTCGCCGAAACAGTGGTGCGCTTGCAGAACGTCTACTCGCTGGTAGCGCTTGCGGTTTTCTTTGTCATCACCAGTGCCTGTCGTGGTTGTCTTGCTGCCGCCATTACTGCGTAGTGGTTTGCTCATATATGAAGACAGCCCCGTCATCCGATTGTGGCCGTTGGACTTGCCCGGGATGATGCTCGACGCAGACAGAGTAGATAAACGCTCGGGCTTCGAAGGCGATGGCGGTGCACTGGCCGTTTTCCGCTGTTTGGCTTTCGCTTCTTCAAGTTGTTGGCGCATTTCAATTTTCTTGGCTTCAAATGCAGCAAATCGCTCCATCACTTCGTCCTTGTGGATCAAGCGTAACTCCTCGACAATGTCAGGCTCCAGTTGATCCGTGATAATGAGACAAAAGCGAAGGAATTTATCCATCTCCACTATAGTCTTTGTCATTTCACGTGCAAAGTACTCGTTGATTGCCAGCAACACCTCACCTGCGTCCTTAGCATCCAGCAGGATATCGCGGAGAGTAAAGAAAATTGACATGCCTACCCCAAGTAGCACGCGTGATGCACACTGCTTCTCCTTTGAGCGCGCCAGCAGCATGTCGATTACCTTGAGTCCACAAAAAGATGGGAGGGACGTGAGAAAGCAAGTCACAAGCCACTTTGTGCAAAGAATCTCCATGTTCAGCCCAAGCTCGTTAAGGTGGGCATGCAATTCAGGGTCATTCTGACGCAACAACGTGTTCATGACCGCGCAGTCAGTATGCAATCCAATCATTGAGTCAACGTGATAAGCTGGAAGTAGCACTTCGATCAATAAAGTCAGCCCTTGAAGTGCCTGGTCTTCATCCAAGTACTGCAAAAGTACAACCAAAATCTCGTTCATACCCTGACAGTACCCCACGCGGCGGTTGCGAATAGCAAATGCCGTAAGAACTTGTCGCATCGGAACCAATTGATCGTTTCTCAGATTCCGTGTCCTTATAATGTCGTTTTCGATCGATTTAGCAATTTCACGGTCTAACAGAGCTTCTTGATCTTCCTTTTTTATCGCCGCAAGGTTACGAGGCAGATCTGGCGGTGCAGGAAGCTGATTAATCAGAAACGGCCAGATCCACGATCGATGTGCATCAGGCACACCGCTCATACTGTGGCGAACAACAACCTTCGGAGTTCCTGATGTTCGCAAGCATTCCCATAACGTATCTTCATCTTCTGGATACGCATCGCCATTTTGGCTCGCATCTTCGCCTTCTTTTGTTGATGACGCATTGCTAAGAATTGAGTTAGACAGGGACAGGCTACGAGAAGAGGCAGAGCTCAGCGTGTCGGCTCCTCTTAACGAAAAATTCCTTATCGATGATGTACGTGACCGCCGACGATTAATCTTCGCGATTCCTTGGTACACTCTGGCCAACATTTCCTTCTCTGATGGAGTAGTTACAAGCTCAAGCCCTGCTTTTCCATCTTCTTCACCTCGAGTGTCTTCATCGCTGTTAGACGATAAATGCTCTAATTCACGACTGCGTGTTCTGCTGCTGCGGCCACATCGACTTTTGTCGCTGGAATCGCTATAACATACCTTGTTGCTATTCCTCCTCTTTACTTGATGCGTTGAGGCACCAGAGTCATCAAACAGGTGCTTCCTCCACTGGATAAGCAATTTAATACTATGAGTTCTGCCTTTTCGCGTGTGACCCTGTTGTTCGAGATGCACTTGCTTCTCCACCACGATTTTATTGCTGCTCTTCTTCGTCTGAATCTTCCGCTGCAACGTCTTCCGCTGCTGTTCCTCCTGCGCTAGCTGTGCTATATACTTGTAACGCAGTGCAGTGAGTTCATCGTCATCAATTTGATCGTGCATGAATTTAATAAGATCTAGAAACGATTCGGCCACTGAGTACTCGTTTAGCGTTGTCCAACAAAACTCGTTGATAACTTCGAGCACCACGTTCACATTCTGGATCTCCACAAGCGCTGAGCTCAGATACAACAATACCGCCAAAGACGTCGAAAAAATAATTTTCGAGCCTAGATGATGACTGCAAGTATCGACGAACATGATGTCATAGAGACGGCAGACAACGTTAAACGGCATGGATTCAGCAAAGAAGGAGAAGAACCATTTCGTGCACAGAAGTTGGATAGATACACCCAGGAGTGCAAAGTGTTCACTAAGTGCCACGTCGTGCTCATGCAACAACTCTTGCAACACAAGGCAATCCGTGTGAAAGTCCACAACTGACTCATCGAAATACTTGGGTAGCAGAGCTTCCAGCAGCATCCGAAAGCACCAGAAAGCGTCTTCCTCCACTAAAAACGTGCTGAGCATGACACACGACTCTACCATTCCATGGCAGTAGTAAAAAGCATCTTTTGACTTGGCGTAGGCCAGTAGAATGCGTCGAATTTTCCGTTCTTGGAAGGGATTTAAGTGCTGAAATCTCTCCATCGCCTCCTCTTGAGCTTGATCGAATGAGCTGCTAGTTTCTTCATCCACCTTGTCCTGCAACCTCTCATCCATGTCGTTCATTAATTGACTGTAAATGATACTGTCTTCCGTCTGCCGTCGCAGTTTCATACCCTGCAATTAAAACAGTGATAACGACGTGGCGCAGTTAGACAATAACGTTATAGACGTTAAATAGTTAGAAAAGACGATACAAGACGTTAAAACTGCCAGACTTGCCTGCTCGTGTAACAAAATGGGCCACGCCCACTCGCGGTGCTCGTACGGGATGCCATGGGAGCGGATGGCATCCCACATGACGCGACTTTTGGCCAGCGAATGGTGCTCGCGACCTGACTGGCCAATATCCTGTATTAGGTGCCGCGCTTCCTCCCGCAGTTGGCTCCATGCAATCTCCATAAGCTGCGTGATCCAATAGCGAGACGTCGATGAACTGCAAGTAAAAAAAGCTTCAACTCGCCTGAGACAGACGCTCTTTGCCTATAATAGCTACGACGATTTTAACGCAATGTGTCAGCAGTTAGAAACCACTTTTCCAACAATTTTGGCCAAACATATTATCAGTGATTTTATCCGTGACATTCTGCCGGATAAAGGTGGAATCAGAAAAACGTTGCATAAACATTGTGTATAAGTTTCATGACAAAAGTATGTAGAGCCCGATGAGCAATTGAAACATGCTAGCAGTCCTTCAAAAACGGTCCATTATTACATTTGTCGCGACTATTTTCAGGTACTTTTTCTTGGTACAGATGCTTTGGCCTTCATACGTTGTCAGAGTCGCGTTTAATGTAGCAAATATCTCACTCTCAATCACTTGGTCAAAAGTTGTTACCACTTCTCCATCATGTCTAAGCTGTCATTCCTAGCTCTTTATCACTTCACCTCCCGCTTCGAGCATCATCAGCAAATTGAAGTGTCGTGACGGGGAAGTCTCCGGTGCAACATTACAACTCACAACACTGAGTCCATTCACCAATTTGCAAACAACAAACCAGCCTTCCACCACCACCGTCTTCAAATTCCCCATGAAACCTGCCGCTACCTTCGCGAGAATCATGGCGGTAGGTGCTTTCATTGCAGCAGAGAGTGCGCCGAATGCACCTGCACTTCGTGGCCTGCGTATGAACGCAGATATACCCACAGTCAAAGAAAATACCGAGGAAAGCAGGAAGGGCCACCACCACCATGTCAAGAAAGTCAAGAAAGTCAAGAAAATCGCTATTCCCGTGCCTGTGGAGGTGCCGCATTTCATTCCTGTTCCCGTCAGCATCCCGTCCACAGTGATAGCTGGCTCCAACACTGCCGTCGTTGACTCCACCACCAATGTCGCCTCTACCAATGTCGCTTCTACCAATGTCGCCTCTACCAATGCCGCTTCGAACAATGTCGTTGCCGCAGGGACTAACGTGGCACTGGGATCTGCAGCTGTCACGCCAGCTCCGACGACTGCAAATGTACGTCCAGTGGCAACCCCTGCACCTACGGTAACCCGAGGATCAAGGGCCACGCCGGCACCAACGAACGTTGCCAGTGCAGATCCATCTCCAGCACAACAGCCAAGAGCTGCCGCAGCCATTCCTCAGTCTGGGGACGCAGGCATAGCCGGGGTCTAATCGACAGCAGGCTTTGGCTATAGGCCTCAGCAATGCTGAAGGAAATGAAGCTGAGCTTCAAGCTGCAGTTCAGCATAGTAACATCTGTAGATTTTGGTGTGGTAGCCCTGGGCACCTCCGCCCTAGCGGTCCGTTGCGAAAGCAACGTATGAATCGGCAGAGCCGTAACCCAGCTCTTAGTCAATAGGCGAGCACGGCAGGGCAATAAGTCAACTTCGAGTAGGCGTGAGGCGCCCTACTGGGAAAGATCTATGTTTTGTTGAACCTCTAGGAGGTAGAACTAAACAGGGCTTTGCCCCGGGGGTTTTGTGGTGAAGTGCCAGGGAAAGTTGGAGTTTGAGGGAAATGACAGAGAGAAAGAGAATTTCTGGTCACTTCCCCGAGGGAGTGACCACGACCCGGCCTCGCGGATTTACAACCACACACCAGGCCCCGCCTTATTAAGAATATAAGGACCCAGACGTGCAGCGTCAGCACAGGCCCCAGGTCCCGGAAACAGGTTCCAGAGGCCCAGGGGTACAGGGGCCCAGGGGTAGGGTACAGGGGCCCAAGGGTACAGGGGCCCAGGGGCATAGGCCCAAAGAAAAGGAACGTGAAGTTACGGAAAAAGCGTTGGAGAAGAAAGCTAGCTGACTAAACATTTCATGCATCGGTGTCCAGGCGAAATTTTCCGGAGAGACGAGGGACCTGGAAGGCGGGGTGTTCCTGAATGTTCTTGCGATAGAACACGCGCCAGGGGGCAGTGTCGTCTGCGGTCTGCAAAGCCCTCAACAAGTCCAACTGAAGACTTGTGAGTTGGCGAACGCAACCACCCAAACGACGTAGGATCACTTACTGTTAATTCGAAGAGTTTGGACAAGGGTGCACGTGGTCTTACCGCAGTTCGAAAGACCAGCGCGCAGGGGACAGATGTGGTGAAGTGCCAGGGAAAGTTGGAGTTTGAGGGAAATGACAGAGAGAAAGAGAATTTCTGGTCACTTCCCCGAGGGAGTGACCACGACCCGGCCTCGCGGATTTACAACCACACACCAGGCCCCGCCTTATTAAGAATATAAGGACCCAGACGTGCGGCGTCAGCACAGGCCCCAGGTCCCGGAAACAGGTTCCAGAGGCCCAGGGGTACAGGGGCCCAGGGGCCCAAGGGTACAGGGGCCCAATGTCCGAGGGTGCAGAACCGGTACACAGAATATCGAAGATTACAGAAAGTACAGGTAACAAGGAGCCAGTTCTTCTTCCAAGAGTCGACACGGGGCACTATCTAGATCAAAGGGTTAAGGTTAGGCAAGAAAAGCATTTAGAGAATAAGGTAAATAAACACACTCGAATTTGCATTACACGTGGCAGCTTTAAGCGCCCCTCCTAAGCTTCTCCGTCGCTACACCTCTTCCGGGCGGGATACCCTTTGGCCCCCCGACGTCCAGCAGGTATTAGACGGCTCAAGCAACGCAAGTTGAACCTCAGGATAGTTGGCCTGAGGTGTCAAGTAAGTGTCAAGACTCTACGACCCGCTCCAGGAAGCGGTTTCCCTACGGGGAAGAACACAAAGGGGTCCAAGGACCAAGAACAGTCAGCCACCAAAGGGGTACGCAGTACCAGGTGCATCGCTCTCGACTAAGTCGATTGAGCCCAAGAAACCCGGTCCCAAGTGAAGTATATCCGCTCGGGGACCACCAAGTCCAAGTCCTATACAAAGACCAAGTCTTTAAGTCTTCTGCGTCAACCGAGGAGCAAGACCAGCCAAGGCCAATACGACACGGTATCGGGGTACCCCCTCCTTAAGTCGGCAGTCCGGCGCTGTATGTGTTTGTGGTTCTCTCACGTTGTTTGAGAATCCACTCCACCACAATGGTGCGCGTGCCCGGATCTTCGGGAGACGCGGATTTTCACCGTGAGTCCCACGAAGAAGAAACGAAAAAAGAAAAGACAACGGTCAAGATGGACCAAGGGACGACCAAGACACTGGAAACCGGATCGCCAGTGATCAAGAAGGAAGAAGGATCGGAGGATCTGCAGAGCCCGGGGAAGAGCTTTGCTATTGAGGTCAAGGTGGAATATGAAGAAAAACCACAAAATCCTCCCCCTTATGTCTTCGTCGAAGAAGACAACATGGGCCATAATAAATATTATGGTCCAGGGGTCCCAAGTTTGACAGCGAAAGCTAAAAAAAAGGGACCCCGAAACAAGTCTCCCGACCCACCACTCAAGAGCCAAAGGTGCCCAAGAACAAGCAAAAGAAGCAGAAGCATACCAAGTTGAAGGCACCGAGAGGCGGAGACACGACGGACGAGTCGGGAGAGAGCCAAGGCGTGGCTAGTAAGGACTGGACAGAAGAAGATTTGGAAGAAGCCTACCATCGGAATAAATTGAAGAAGTTTCTTCGAAAGGACCCGGTGATGAAGGCGCTCAAGGTCAAGCTTATGGACCAGGTCCACGGTCCGATAATGGCTCTTCCCACCACGACCACAGACCTGGAGGTCCTCAAGGCCGTAATGAATCTGCTACATGAAGCTGGGATGGCTGCTGGGAACTTTACTGCTGAGACCCTCTTCGATTTCGGGTTCGAGACCTTGAAGAAGACCTTAGTGACTCTGCATGGTCACCTCAAGACGTTAGTGGGGGAGTTCCCCCCAAAGAAAGTACCCCGTCAAGATGGAGGAGTAGTGGATCCTGGTGTGGGCTCTCCTGCTGGGTCACTCGGTGAATCGTCACCAAGGTCTCAATACGAATCAGCCACCTCATCTATGATGTCGGCCCTGATGGATACGATGGATCGAATGCAATTGGGTCCAGCTGGTGCAGCGTTGTTAGAAGCACGAATTCGCGAAGCTGGCCATATGGAAACAGCAACCCCATGGGGCCAGCGCCAAGCACAGGAGGAGACGGAAGCCCGGTGCAAAGTGGAGCCAAGGTTGATGGGGACAAAAACGGATCAGGAAACAAAGACTGAGTCAGTTTCCCCTAGCGCGCTCCAGTCGTACTTTGATAAGGCGATGACCAAGTTCTTTGAAGAGCAAGGCTCCACAAAAGTTGCAGTGGACCGGGGACACACCACAAAGGGTCAAAGACCAGTTTACCGCAGGTCCTCCCAGCGAATTGAGCGCCTAGGACCACTAGGCGATATCCCTGATGTGGACATGGAGTCTATGGGGTCAACCCATGATGAATACGAGCCAGATGACTTGGCGTTCCCGATGACCTCAGCGCGAGCGACTGAGGCCGCGGCTACGGCAGGAGGACCCCTACTGTTGTTCCACACATTAGGGTATCGGCCTCGTCGGATCTGAAGGAATTTAGCGGAAGGGACCACGATGAAGATCGTGCCAGAAGCTGGAGCACTAAGGTAAAGACGGCTTTCCTCCGAGACCAGGCACCAGACAGCGAGAAGTGTCTCATTTTTGGGTCCCTGCTCACGGGTCCAGCTCAAAATTGGTATCGACAGCTAGGTCGAACGGTACGCGTCGATTGGAAGCTGCTTCTGCGAGAGTTCCAAGCACAATTTTGCGGCTTGGGGGTGTCGGTGGCCCGACAATATTATCACGCCAGAAAGAGAGCCGATGAGTCACCCTTAGAATATTTGTACCGTTTGAACGTGGCAAGGCTCAGGGCCAAGCTAGATATTAAGGGTGGGCCCCCCAGTGTAAAGCGTGAACACGTAGATCATTACGTGGAAACCTTGAATGATCGAGAATTAGCGGACCAGCTTACATTGCTCAGACTTTCTGATGCAGATGACCTGGAGGAAGTCCTGCTGGCTCGTCAGAGAGCGAAGACGCGTCAAGGAAGGGTCTTGTTCGGGTCCAGCAAGTTTCGCCAGAAGGCCCCAACCCCTCCAGACCACACCAAGAGTCAGCTGAGAAGACCCGTCCAAGTCATCCGAGCCACTTCTGAAAGTGAAAATGACCAAGGGTCCAGCTCCAGTGGGTCTGAGAGAGAAGATGACCTCAGAAGAATTTATGCGGCGGCGAGTAAGCCTTACACTGGCAGGGCGAGGAACGCAGATGACCCCCGGCACCATCAGGACCCAGAGCCAGACCGAAGTCGACGCATGGCAGAGGGAACTGGACAAAAGGTGGTTCCAGGGTCACCCGTGGCAAAGTGTACCCATTGTGGATCTAGGAAGCATGTGGATCTGGACTGTTGGAAGCGACTCGTTTGCGAGTGTTGTGGAAAGAAGGGTCACCCAGCTGACCACTGCCTGTTTGTGTGTCGCGGTTGTGGCAAGGTTCATGACGTCGGCAAGTGCCCGATGGAAGAGTTCTACAATCTGATTCGCCAGTGGTACAACCCGAACAAACACGCAGGGCAGCTACCCGAGGCGGCGGAGAAGATGTTAAATTAGAACGCTCGCCAGGTTTGAATCTGGTACGAGCCGAGCGTTCTAATTGTAGCATTTATGCATTTGTGTAGATACACCCCGTGGAGAAGGTCAATAAGTTGGATGAATTGATTGGAAATACATCGGCCTTTTGCATTATTCTGTTGCTGCTGTGGCCAATGCGTGTGTACCTCATGTTAATTCCCGAGAAGAGACTATAATGACATTGGACTTATTACCGGGAAAGTCAAGAGGATACTGGAAACACCATGCCCCAGGAAAGTGGTTTAAGCAAGCCAAGGCCTCTGGGAAAGCTAACAATATTCGTGCGAATCTACTGTTTGATTCTGGTGCCGAGATATCTATTTTGGATATCGCCTTTGCTCGTAAGGTAGGCTGTCAGATTAACACAAGCGAAAAACAAGAGTGCGTGGGCATTGGAGAAGCAGTTTACACCACGGAAGGGCGAACGAAGATCAAGATAACACTGAATGGTGTATTTGTATACTTCTTCAATGTGTGGGTCGGGTCCATGGCCGGCCAGGATGTGCTACTAGGAATGGACTTTATGGTTCCAGCTGGAATTCGTTTGGACATGGCGGATGGAACTATTTGCTTGCCAGACGAAGTTCGAATCCAGCTGACAGGTCGCAAGACCTTGTATAGTGGCCATATTTCTGAGGTA